TTCCCTTCCCTTCCCTTCCCTTCCCTTCCCTTCCCTTCCCTTCCCTTCCCTTCCCTTTCCTGCATTTCCACAGGAATAATCTATGGAAAGCGGGGGCAGAACAAGTATTGTGCAGAGCCAGAATGAAAAGAAGGTGGAGCTTCCATTTTCTCTCTCTCTTTCTTTATATTCCCCTTTCTTTTCCTTCTTCATTTTCATACAGCAAGGTGATGGGTAAGGGAATGGCTTCCTTGCCCATGGCTTTTGAAATGAGTTATGTATGGTATTTTATTATTCTATTAACTTATTCAATTTATATGTCTGTCCATAAAACGACCATATCAGAACAAAATGCAAAATACTCATCAGAAGAACAATAACATATGCGCTCCAGGCTACTCTCTCCTGCTTTATACTATCTTGGGTCACATGGATTAAAATTATTCATTTATTTTTGGGAGGAATGATTTAGAATACGTTTTTGGAAAGCTAGAGGTAGAACTGAGATGGCAGCAAAATTGAAATCCCATTGAGCTAGCATTGCTAAAGAGATTGTAAACAACCTCAGCTTCTGTGGTGTATGATAGATTCTGTTGCATTCGGTAGATTTGTTGCATTCGATAGCTTCTGCAAAAAAGGAAACAGAGGCACCGAGCAGTCCTAAACATACCCCAATGATTTTGCCAAACAGAACTGCAAAGGCAGGAACAACCCCTCCTCCAATGGCAGCAGCAATGACTCCAACCACTATATAGCAGAATTCAGGCTTATTCAGAGCCAGAATCCTGGTATAAGGAACCTCTTGGAGGGTCTGTTCCTGTAAGAGAGAAAATTCCCCTTGTTACCGACAAATGAAGAGATTACAAGAGGCAATGCCACTGGTGGGCAAAATGTCACTGAGAATTACCCAAACTATACAGTACTGAGAAGAAACTGGCTTATATGTTCAAGCCCACTCATTTCTATGATCTCAGACAACTAGTACACATGTGAAAACAAAAGAAAAAGAACAAAAGGCTAATTCGTCTCAAAATCTGTCTAGAAAGGTCATTGAAAAGTGGGAGTAAGCCTCATGAATGGCAACATCTCTGCATGAATCATTCTGTTGAATTACTGCGTGCTTTAGGCCTTACTGCCTGTTCTTTAATTTTGATTTCTCATTATTTTAGTGTCATGCGTTTCAGATTAAATTTTGACATGGTGTGTTTAAAATATAATATATTTTAAAAGTCCAGAAGGTAACACATTTTCCAACTGGATTTTCACAAGTTGTTCAAATTGTTTGATTTGTACATTGTCATAATTACCAAACACAGGGCAGGGATGAATGAAACTGAATGTCTACTTTTCCTAACAATATGGATATCTTTGCCCATGAATTTTTCTGAAAGTGAAATCAAACGCATGAATAAATACAAAGCATTTAAGGAAAGAACAAAGCCTCTCTTATAATTCTGGTTTGTTACTAGAACCACAAGGTGGGGATACCAGTTTACACAAAACACTAAATCACTTACTGAGGGGTTATACCGTGTTTAGCCACACAAGGTGTTTTAGAAATAATACTAACCACGTGGTCCTTCTTTGGTTTCTTCTTCTGTTTCTTCCTCTTTTTCCTTTCAGAGGATCTTTTCGTAGAAGCCCTACCAAGGCCACGTCTGTTGGATATTCTTCGAAAACTTCCCCTCTTAGCCACTTCTATGCCACCATTAGGATTTCCCAAATCATTTAGATCTACTCTTTCATTTAAATCTTCTTTCTCAGAATTTTCACTGTCTTCATCCTCCATCTCAGATTCTGTCTCTTCATTTGATGTTTCACTCTCTTGTTCCTCTCCCTGACAACTCTAAACATTTATAAAAGGAAAACAGCTGATTTAGGGAAAAAATACATTACCAATGGGGTTAATCCTTTTAATTACAACCAATGACAATTAAATCGATATGCTCAGGAAATCTATATGTTTTGATACTGCATTTTGAAATATTCAGTTCCAAAATCATTGGTTACTTGATATCATTGCAAAATTATTAGCTAGATTTAGGGCTTCTTTTAAACAACACTTTCATTTTCGTTCTCCAATCGACAGCAATGTTGTCTATAGATGCCACGTGCAGGGTTTTATTGTATTGTTTTACTAAAATGATCGTTTCGCATGTAGGAATGTTTTGACAGGAGAAGAAATTCAATATGGCAACTCCTACACCTGGGCTCTCAAGCCTATGCATCTTGTATCACTACATTTCCTGGACAGACAGATGAACTCTAATTTCAAAAGATGTGGATATATTTATATGTGAAATAGTATATGTAATGCTAGCTAAGTATTTTTGATTCTCTCTCTCTTTCTCTCTCTCCCTCCCTCTCTCTCTTTCATATATTTTCATAAGGCCAATGTCAGACCTTCAAGATAGACCAGAACAGGAAATGGACTCCATGAGTCTATAGGGAACTATACTTTATTGAGATAGGCTATAGTAACAGAATCTTGAAAGCCTGATTGTGTTTTCCCTTCCCTCCTTCCTATGCCCCAGGGAATTCAGGTGGAGCCACTGGAGTTCCTTCCTAATGTTTTCTTTGTTTCCTGAACTTAAAGCATGTTTTTGTATGTTTATTGTAACTATCTCTCCATAGTTTCTCCAAGGTCATCCCTGTAGCTCTCCATACCCATTTAGTGATCCTGCTTCCTGCTCCCCTGTTTAGCCTCCCAGAATACTATCAACCCCAAGTTTATCTATGTCTGAAGCATTACTGTTTTCATTTCCTAACATATGTGGGATCCATACAGAATCCAATGGCCTTCTAGGGAAAAAGAGAGATCATTCTGAAGGCTAATGCCTTGCTTTGCAACGTACCAGCTTCCTTTTAACTTTTATTTAAAGATTTAAAAAATATGTTTTTTTTTTCTAAGTAGACAGCCATGCTGGCTCGGGAACTCTGGGAGTTGAAGTCCACACATCTTCAAGTGGCAAAGGTTAAGAAACACTGCTCTATCCATGAAATAGTGTTTAATACCAATGAAAAGCATTTTGTTCCTAACTGAGTACACTTGAGGCTTTAATTCCTCTGTGACAGGTCCAAGCAACAGGAAGATGTTAAACATTCAGATTTTAAATAAATAAAAAAAGGACAAAGATTTCATGAGGTGCTCACGTAGCTTAAGGGTCATATTATTTTCACCTTTGGAGACAGCCAATAACATCTCATTAACTTTGGCCATAGTTCAGCATTATGGAACAGTGGGCTTATATGTTTCTCTACCCTATTTTGGGCAGCTACAGCATTTGTGTCCATGTTCAGCTTGCAGCATCTAAACCTGTAGAAATTGTAGCTTCTTTTGACTAGGATGAAGGAAAACAAGACAGTTTCTAGCCATCATTTATAAAGGTGGCATGATTTTTTTTTCACTTGTAGATAATGCTATATTGTAATTTGCCTGAAATGGAAGATTCCAGACCCTTTATGGCTAGAATGTGGGAAAGGGGGAGAAGGTGCACCCTTGAGAATCATCCTCATAAAGCATATAGCATCACATGTAAATCAGGCCACTGAATTTCCTTACCTGCTGCATCACAAGGGCATAGTAAACTCCTTTATGTGCCATGAGTTCATTATGTGTCCCCTGTTCGACCAGAACACCCTTCTCAAAGCCAGCAATAACATCAGCTGTCCTGATTGTAGAGAGTCTGTGAGCAATTACAATGGTGGTGCGCCCAGTCCTGGCCTTCAAAGGAGGTTAAAAGAAAAATAAGGAAAAGAAAAAGGCCATCATCTAAAATATGGATTTCTACACAACTTCACCCTCTATTTCTGCAAGTATGGTTTAGAGCATTGTTTCTCAGCCTTAGCAACTTCAAGATATGTGGACTTCAACTCCCAGAATTCCCCAGCC